GGTCTGACACACCCCGCTTGCGCACCCGAAACGGAAAGGAGACTCTGGCTTTTAGCGCGTTCTGGCGTGCGCAAGAAACAAGAGGCGCGGCGGGGCATCCCCCGCAGCGGCCCAGGCGTGGGCAGTGAAACGGTTTGCCAGGCGTTCACACGGGACGCTGGCCCAGCAGGGCCGGAGCGAAAACAGGCGCAACCAGCCTTTCCTCCTCCTCCTCCCTCCTCCTCCTCCTCCTCCTCCTCCTCCTCCTCCTCCTCCTCCTCCTCCTCCTCCTCCTCCTCCTCCTCCTCCTCCTCCTCCTCCTCCTCCTCCTCCTACCCAGCGGAGGTGTGCCAGGGCCTCCCCGCGTGAACCGAAGGGCGAAAGGGCTCGAGGACCAGCGGCCGTGCAAGCACGGACGCCCCCAGCACCGCCCGACCCTTCGCCGACGGCGCCAGGAGGCACCGCCAGCAAGGGGGGCCAGGCAGGAGCAGGGGGCCGTGCAGGGGCCCTGCCACCCCTCGGCGCACGAAGGGCGTTGCACCCCCCGCGTGGGGCCACGTGCGGAAAAGGTGGGGAGGCCTCGGTGTACAGGAAGCTGGGCCCTTGGACACAGCCAGGGTCCTCACGCGGCGATGCTTACCAAAGACCGTGTGACAGGTCCCGAACTGCACGGGTAATGCACCTGGTGGCGCACGCCCGAAGAGGCAGACGGAGAAAGCAGCTTCGCCGAGGGGCAGAATGAGTCTGGGGCTGGTAGCCCTGACAGCCGGGCGGCGGACGGGCGTAGTCGGTCGTCGGACGCTGGTCTGCCGGTCGGCGTGGGGACGTCGAAGGGCTTCTCGCCGCTAGGGGATAGCTGTCAAGCTGGACGTGCGCAGGTGAGCAGTGCTGCCATTGGTCAGCTGCACCACCCAGTCCTGATTATGTTTGCCCGTTCGGACGACGATGATGCCGTGCTGGCCGTTGATGGGGCTACGCCCCTGGTTGGTGACCGTCATATCGGCACCTTCGTGGATGGGTGGAGGTACGGGAGAAGGAACGAGGCCGTTGTCGGCGGTCAGTGCACTGGTCCCAGCTGCCGATGCGTTGGCCCTGGTAGGCCCTGATGGTCCCGACGTTGTGGGTGATGGTGCTGGCGTTGTCGCTGGCGGCCGAGCGGTTGTGTGCTGAGGGATGCAATGGCCAGGAGGGTCGTCAGCGTCCTCTGCATTCGGCACTCGGTGCACGCGAGCACGAACCGTGGGGGTGACGCTCACAGTGGCGCCCAGGTGGCCAGCTGGAGGGTCACCGTGTGGACGTGGACGTGGTCCACTTCTGGGAGATCGTGGTGGTGTCGCTCGTCGGAGGTCCTCTCGGGGAGGTTCAGTAGTGGCCCCGACGTGGTACTCTAAGAGTCGGCAGGTCAGCTATCAGTCAGTTTGTGTGCTCGCTTGGAGGGGGACCAGAGGTTGCGAATCAGCTGGAACGTTCAGGCGATCCCAAGCATGGATCAAGGGGGCGTGGATTAGCGACGGGTCCCGCTTCCATGGGAAATTGCGGTTTTCCGCTGCCGAACGAGGCGGCACGGGCCGCGTTTTGTGGTGTGCATTTCCCCCGATCCATGGATTTGGCGACCGCGCGCCAAATCCATGGATCGCTAGTACATGTTTGCGCGCCTCCGAAGGCAGCCCGTTGCGGCTGCGATTTGGCTGCTGGTCTGGTCCAGTCGGGGTGTGTCATGGCGGCTGCTGCCACGTGGAGGCGAGCGTCGGTCAATGGGTAGCACACGGTCGTCGATCGTCGTCGTCATATGCCGGACAGTCGACAGTCGGTCGTCGGACGGTCACCGTTGGGGATCAGACGGCCGGCAGTCGGCCGACGTGCGGTCGTCAGTCGGGTCAGTGTCGGCTGGTCTGTCGTCTGACGCTCGGCGGGCGGTCGTCAGACGTCGCGCGGTCCGCTTGTAGTTGGCGGATCCTCGAGGGGAGGGTCGCGATGGTCTAACTACGACGTCGCGCGGTCCGTTTGTAGTTGGCGGATCCTCGAGGGGAGGGTCACGATGGTCTCACTGCTTCAGGAAGGCCGGTTGCAGGGTGGGCCTGGTGACCCCCCTTGCGGATCCCCCGCGGTAGCCAGCTGACGCCAAGCGTAGGGGCCACGAGGGGTTGCGGCAGGGGCAGCGGCTGCAACATATGGGCTGGGTGGCCCCCGCGGTCGGGGCGCCTGGAAGTCGGCGGACGCTCAGAGGGCGGGCCGCAGAGGGCTGCGCCTTGGGCAGCAGCACGGGGACTGGCTGCAGCGTCGGCCCGGTGGCCACACCGAGCGGTGCCAGGGGCGCCGCAGCGAGCGACGGCGGAACGCCGGGCTGCAGCGTGGGCCTGGTGTGCCCCCTCGGCTGCTGCGGCGGGCCACGGCGGACCGCGCCTTGGGCGGCGTCACGGGGACCCGTCGGGGTTTGGGCCGGGCGGCTCCCCGGAGCGGTGCCAGTGGCGGTCGGCGGCCCCTCCGGCGGGAGGGTCGCAATGAACTGCGGCGGGAGGGCCAGGGGGAGAGGAGAGGGAGAGAGGCGGAGGGGGAGGGAGAGGGAGAGAGACAGAGGGAGAGAGACAGAGGGAGAGAGACAGAGGGAGAGGAAGAAAGAGAGGGACGGAGGGAGGAGGAGAGAGGCAGAGGGAGAGGGGGAGGGGGAGAGAGCCAGAAGGAGAGGGAGAGGGGAGAGAGAGAGAGAGAGACACCAGGGAGGGCGGCTCTCCGTTGAGAACACTCTGTTCCCAGGCAGGGGCGCGAGCCCTGCCTGGGCTCCACCGACAAGGCGCACCCAAAAAGCAAAATGATGAGGGAGGGGGAGGAGGAGGAAGAGGAGGAGGAGGAGGAGGAGGAAAGCAGGAGGAGGAAAGCAGGAGGAGGAGCAGCAGCAGCAGCTGAGGAAAAGGAGCAGGATCGAAGGACAAAAACAGCATCCTCACGAATTTCTTGCGACGGCGCTGGACCCACATGGCGGCGCCCCCCCCTGGCGCGCTCCGCGCGCCACCGATCGAAGAAATCCACGCGGACCTCAGAAAGTTGATGGTTGCGCGGGTCTATCTTGCTTGGCAAAAAGAGCGCTTGCATGCTGATGGTGACGATGATGCTGACGATGACGATGACGATGAAGATGACGATGATGATGATGATGATGATGATGATGATGCTGATGCTGATGATGATGATGATGATGATGATGCTGATGATGATGATGATGATGAGTATGATGATGTTGGTGATGATTATGATTATTTGTACCATTATGATTATGATAATGTGTGGCCCACGCTCACCCTACATATCCTTTGCATTTGCCTGCTCATGGCTGGTGCAGCGCGGGAAGCGCAAGGCTCCCTGATTCATCTCGCATGCGATTCGTTCGGGGGCCAGCTTTCAATCCCATGTCTCCAGTTCGTGTTGGAAAAAGGGGATTTTGGTCAGCCAGGAGACGCGCCCCTTACATGTCGTGCGATTGAGTGGAACAAGAACGAAACAGATTTTCTAGACACGCAGCACAGCATGAAAATCATTGGGACACTCATTGTGGATATGCGGAAGGAAAAAGATCGGACATGCTGGATGCGCATTCGTGATCCGGCGCGACTTTGCAACTTTGGCACAGGTTTGTTAGATTTCGGTTTCTCCATCCACGTGCCCAGGCAGAGCGGGAGCAGCAATAGTTGATCACGCACAGCTTGATATGACATTCGTTGTTTTCCACCCGGTGACACCGTAGGGTACGAAAGCAATAGGACAGTGGAGAGCGACCATTACACTCAAGAGATGATGGTTGGACACTATCCTCATGAGCACAGCTGCAGGATCCACGCCGGTAACCATTGTGGACTTGGACGACGAATGTGAAAAGATGGTTGGAGTGATTACCAGAAAGGGAGGCGGCAGCGAGACTTTCGGAATTGATGGCGAAACACGACGTGACTGGTGCAGATCTGCAGTACCAGCAGCATTCTTGCTTTATTGGTCAACAAAAACATCACCGATTGATCACATGTTGGTACCAGCATCACCATGAAAACTGTACAATGCGAACATATGCTTCAAGACGGGTTCAAGGCGTCAGCTTATTCCTCATGTTGAATTGTGCGATATTCCGCCGCTTAATTTAATGCTTAGACATGACCTGGCGACACTGCAACCCAAGCGTCCCGTTCAATGTTGGAACTAAGATAGACGGCCAACAATACATGAAGCAAGGACACATTAAGATAAACAATATATCTTGTCAGAATGATTCACGCACTTGCTGGTGATGGGGAACTACAACGATTGCACAACAAAACAACAGGCGACCGATACGCATTGGAAAAGATTGTCAATATGCAAGAAAATGGTAACAAAACTGGAGAGACTTCGGGAACAGGAGCCGTGGAGCCCTTTTGATGGGAGAATTTTGATGGCAGCCTGTGAGAGACGCAGGCAGCAGATTCGAACACACATGGTGGCGATAAAAAGGATGTGCAACTCAACCAGTGGAGCTTGAGCAGCAACAGCCGAATGGGCAGATCATTTGGAACATGAGGTGCCTGGAGGGGGGACGCCAGGAGAACTGATTAGTTTCACGAGACAGGAAGAAACACGATGTTACGTTGTTCCCCCGCCACCGCTGCCAGATGACGATGCTGAAATGCGTGCCCGACGAGACCTACAACGGACGCATCGTGAACTACGCCACTGCAAGAGGAGACCCGCAGCACCGCCATGGAGCACGCCATCCGAAATCTTGCAACACGCCATGCTCGAGCCCCCCTCAAAAAAACGTTCGCGGGAAAGCACGAGTAGCAGTTGCATTACACTCGCGAAACGGGGCGGGCGAAGAGAACAACAATGAGAGGCAAAAAACTAGAAACAAGAAACATTGTAAAAATGGGCCTGAGTCAAAAAAATGCCGAACACGCGCAGGACGCGCGTTGCATGCCCGCGAAGAAATATAAGGCCCACTGGTGGGCCATCGATCGCACACCTTGCAACTGGACAAAGAATGGTGTCCTAAAAACGAAAGGCATCATATTGATACGCGGCTCTTGCCTTCTCTAGAGATGCTTCCATCGAGGCGTCGCTCGCGCGCGACAGTCGCTACGGCAGCCACGTTACGCACGCGGAGGACGAGCGCATTTATAGAGGGAGGCGGTAATGCTGAGCTCCCGAATAGCTTGCACGGCGATTGGGACGATGCGGGGTATCTTTTTCGGTTGCACCACATCACATGGCAAATTCGATCCCGTCGTCCTCGCGCGGAACAGCACGCAGGAAAAGATTCGAGCATTGGCGCGCGATAAAGCACGACTGCTACGACACGCACACACACAGAGAAACATATGGCACCATACATTGACGGGTTGGACGGAGGGGTGGGCGCACACTCTACAGGGGGAGGATTCATAAGAGTCAAGAATGCACCAGAGGAGCTGTTGGAAGCGTTTCACGGCGCTCTCGACGAGCGGAGGCCCGCCTTGAGCGACACGGTCGGAGCTCGCACCATTTCGCGCCCAGCTTTTGAGAAGCAGCATGACGCCTCGAGCGAGACCCTGCTGGCCAATATCTCGCAGTTTCACGTTCATGCCAGACCGACTGCCCTGGTTTTTGCCCGGCAATTTCGGCAGGCAAGCGACGCTCTGGGCAAAGTGTTGAGGCCAGATGGATACGCGCATAACCGAGGGAAGCAGGAGGTCACGCCACGCGCGAGATCGACATGCCAGAGCCGAACATTTGTCAAGAAAGCAGAAGTAGGACGATTTTTGCACGAAATACAATATTTGGGCGGGGGTCCTGATCCGAGTGGTTCCAGTGATTCCGAGCGACAAGCGCGAGTGAGCTTCGCGAGTGAACTGAGCAGAGACGCGGAGCCTGGTTCGCGGGCGCGTCGAACGATGCCAAAAGGAGCCGCCCATACCTCCCAGGCCGAAGGGCCGCGCTCTCAGGACTCACCGCACTGCGCCTGCAAACCATTGTCATTGATCTTCGAGCTTTACATATAAGTATATACAACTATAAATGTTCACGCAACCGTTCCAGGGCACCGCGGGGCGACGCCGCTGGGCAAAACCAGAAGAGATCGCGGGCCGGAAGAATTCCGAACCATCGCCAACCTCGAGGTTTAGAAACGTTGGAGGAGTTGCCTCGCTGCCTTCGAACTCCGAGCACGTAGATTGAGACGACTGCAGGCCATGGACGAGTCCCCAATCGAGCACGAGCTCCCAGTTGGAGGGCCCCTCGAACTGCCCCGACTCTGACCGACGCGGGCACATTGTACAACGCCGCAAATCCACGGGCCAAGACGTTCGTCAAGGGCGCGGCGCGTTTGAGGGGAGCTTCGGAGGCTGAGACGTTCGAGGACACACGGGGCGGCGGGGTATGCTCTCTGTTCAGGGAACCTGGGTGGGGGAAGCGGTATGTGGCGTGGGTTTGGGTTCGTCGAGGGCTGCGTTCCTGTCGGCGCCCGTTCCTTTCCTGAGCGCGACGCACTTGGGCCCCTTGCCTGTGCTTGACCACGATAGCGCGCTAGAGCCTGCCTCTGGGCGAGATATTTTCATGGGCGACGGGTGCGCCTACAGTGCTAGGCCGGCCATCACGGCGGAGCAGACGGCGCGCAACACATGGGACACTCGTAAGCTCAAGCCAACGGCGATGGGCACATTCAGAGCCGGCAAAAAGAACCCGCCCATTGTCGCTCTCGAGAAGGGCACAAAAAGTATGCGGACGTCGCCCGGCAGTCAGAACCCATGGAGGCTTCGCCAGCACCGTGCAAGGCACGCGTAATGATCTCCCACCTGCAAGGCATGGCCATCAGAGGCGCCAACAAGAAGGCCCTGACGGACCTGCACCGGCAGCTACAGGTTGCAGCCATGGCATTCCAGTCATTTACGGTGGAGAAGGCCTTCGACAGCAACACGCGTAAGATAAATGCGGCGATGCGCATGTGCCCCAACCGGCAAACGATCACCGGAGCCTCTCGCCAGATCGCCGTTGCCCATTCGTAGGCGCCAGCCTTGCTCGAATACACATAGGGCCAGATGCCGACATGGATCGCGGAGCTGAGCAAACGAATGATCGAGATGCCCTGGAAATCGTGTCAAGAGTTGGGCCCGCATGGGTCGAGTATCGTTATGGTACAGAGTTTGGCAATCTGGGGTGGGGCTCAGATGCAGACAGATGCGTTGGAGGTTGACAGTGGGCAGACAATCACTGATATAGATGGTGGCGACTTTTCCCGACAACGCACGGATGTGAATGGCATTGGCATTGAGCGTTTTCGAAATCACCCGGATGGCTTGCGATTTCAGAGGCGGGATGCGATGAGCAGACGGGCTACCCAAGCTCGAGAGTTGCCGCGCAAACGGGAAGCGCAGCAGGAGGGGGGGTCCAAACGACAGCGAGAGAGAAATAGAAACGAGCACGCTGTCTTCCTCCTCTGAGAACGGAGCCCGAGCCTGGCCCGACAACTCAGCGACCTGTCCTTGTGCGTTGGCCTCGCTTCCCCCGTTCCCAGAAGCCGAAGCG